ACGCATAATCAGAATGTCAGCTTTGCTACCAATTGTGCTGGAAATCATGAGAAGAATTAATATCCCTGCAAGTAACCAATTTCCACATATTACATTCAATTGTTCTTAACGTTGAGATAAAACACATTTGCCTCTGCATTTCTCAGTGCTCAATTTATACCTCTTTAAAAAAAAAAACAGTTTCCCTAGGAAAGAAAAACTTAAGAAGGGAAAATTCAGAATATAAATCCCGTTATTTGGGAAGAATGTACCCACACGGTTTCTCTTTATTCCTATGAATTGCACTCTCTAACATAGAATCGTACAGCGAAACTTGAAAATATGTACTCCCAATCATCAGGTTAAATATATACTTTAAAAATGACACTATTTTTTTCTTTGTTTCCTAGTCATTTTTTTTACATAAAAAAATGGATTGCTATTGAAGTTTTTGAAGTTACAAGGAATAATCCTCTAAAAAAATAAATCATCTTTTCAGCGAAGACAGTTTCCCACTGTAGTATATAATTCAGGTGTGGAGACATCCAGGTACTAATCATCACCTTTCAAAGTTAAGAATTCTAACAAGGATGACAGAATGACAACTGCTAGTTGAAGTATTTATAGCTTATTTAAGGGTAGATAGGTATAGCATAATGTTAAAACGGGAAAACAGACCACTTGGCCTCAACAGAATAATGATTCCTAGATAAAGAAAGAGAAAAACTGAACATGTGAATTATAACGTACATATTCAACTCATTTGCTTTCCAGGCTATCTGGGTGAGGTTTTAAAACTTGGTAGGGCAGATGAGGCTTAGAATACTGTGTATTTATTGCCGTGAGAGATGCCACTATGACTAGGACGCCTCTCAAGGGGAAAATGATAGAAACAAAATATGATAATTTTTTTTTTCAGTTTGCTGGTAAGGCTTCCCTGTTGAGCAGTGAGGGTTGGCTGTGGTGGGTGGGGAACAGGAGTATTGATTCTCAGGAGCTGGCATGCCATTATTTCTCGAGAGTTCTTTAGCACCTGTGTGCCTTTTTTTGCACCTTTCTTTATGATTTCCCCGAGGCAGTGGTTAAGATCTCTGGCTTCTCTCCTACATCAAGGCTAAGAGCAGAAATGCCCACAGGAGAGGCAGGCAACAGCAGAGATGAATGAAGCAGAGGGTGGTGACCTGAAGGGCCGGGCTTCTCCTCTCCAGCTGAGAAATGTCAGGAGGCAGTGGAACCAAGTGGTGCCAAAGCTAGCGATTTTTCAAATGAATCCGGGTATGTTAGGGAAACTGCTTACTTTTGAAATGCTAGCTTATTTTAAAAACATTCTGGGTTCACCAAAATGCTTTTCTCTGGCTTGCATTCTGTTGGCAGGGCACCCGCTTGATTGTGTAGAAGCTGCAGAGAGGCTGGTGGGCCAGTTGGGTGGTGTGTTCCAGGGGTCCCGCCGGGAGCGCACTCCCCCAGCCTGTCCACACATTTTGTAAGCACCTAATTTCCTCTATCAAATTCCTTTCTGCTTAAAACAGAATGGTGTTTTTGTTCTTGCAACTGAACCCAACCCGGACTGATAGCTGTCAAAGTGCAACGTGGAGATACAATGCCAAAGAAGACTTATTTCAAACAATTTGCTTCAAAAAAAGAAAGGGGGAAAATATCATAGATAAAACTGATGTTTTTCCCATCCAAGTATATATGATAACCAGTGCCAGCATAACTAAAAGTATCAAGAGTTATACCACGGACCTGGAGTATAAAGTAGAGCATGCACGGGGGCTCCCACGCTGGACACGAAGGACTGGGAGTCATCAGGAGGCAATGCCAGACCCTGGGGGGGAACCTTATGCATTCCCAAGAGTTGAATACTCTGGCCAAGAGACTGGACACTTAGCCACAACCACAGCCACCAAAAACAAACAAAAAAACCCTTTAAATAAAGTTCTAGTAAATAATTTAATAGCATCTCCAAGTATGTGCCCCTGATAATGAGAACAGAAGCAAACAGTAAGGCACCAACCACCTTGGCTTTACATGAAAAGTTTCTTGACCTTGCAAAGAACTTCCTGTGACTTTTCAGCCATCACTTGAGTTGCTATTTATAGTTGGGACCAAAACAACGGTGTTCAGCTGAACCATACAGATAGGAAAAACTGTTGCTTGACTGATTTACATAACAAATTTGAAAAGTCAAGGTACACATTAATGTCAGGTATAAGTCACCTAAAATTTTTCTAACCCAAAGAAGCTAACCAAATTACTTTTATAGTTCAGGTGAGCTGGATAATTTATGATGGAGCCTTATTTGTTGGCCCTTATACCAGAGCTATCCAAACTGAAGCCCAGCTAAGATCTGTGGCTCACCTGGCGATTTGTTCCATTTCTCCAGGCCTAGCCAGTCTGCCTCAACCTGTGATCAGCTGACTTGTATCTAGCTGAGAGTGAGATGGAAGCAGCCACAAAAAAGAATTTCTACAGAAGCTCCAACTGCCAAACCTTAACTTGCCAAAGGACTAAGCTAGAATCTATACATATTCATATATTAAAAATGAATTTACCATACTGAGTCCTCTTTCTGGAAGTAAGCCAAGCTGCCAGCCTGGAGGTGGAAAATGATTTACAGTGTAAGAAGCACTTTACCTGTACCAATTTGACCTTGATATGGAAGAGCTAGATTTCAACAAGAACTAGTTCAACATTAACGATAATTACTGAGAACGTATACAAAGTAGCCGCTGTCCCGGGATTAAAGCTAATTACAAAACTGCATATGTAAAAACAGAAATAAATAGAACAGCGAATCCCACCATGCTGCTATCTGTTTGAGAAGATATCATTCTCTATTTTTAGAACCAATGTTTGGGAACATCTCGTTTAAAAAGGAAAAATATCTAATAACAAATTAACTTCTATCTTAAAGAAATTCCAGTAAACCACCCCAATGCTCAAATTCACATTAAATGTTTAAGAGTCACTATATTAGTTTCCTGTTGCTGCTGTAACAAATTATCATCAACTTGTGGCTTAAAAGAATAAAAATTCATTATCTTACAGCTCTGGCTGTCAGAAGTCCTATCATTCAAGGTGTTGGAAGAGTTGTGTTCCTTTGTGGAGGCTTAAGGTAGAGTTCTTGCCTTTCTGGGCTTCTTTCTCTGTTTGCATTCCTTGGCTTGTAGCCTCTTCCTCCATTTTTAATGCCAGCAGCTGTAGCATCTTCAAATATTTCTCTCCCTCTGACCTCTATTCTGGCATCACATCTTCTTCTATGACTCTAATCTTCCTGTCTTCCTCTTTTAAGGACCCTGTGATTACACCTGGCCTATCTGGATAATTCAGGATACTCTTCCCATCTCAGGATCTTTAACTTCACCACATTGGCAAAGTCCTTTTTGCTATATAAGGTAACATAGTCACAGGTTCGGGGGATCAGGATGCGGACAACTTTGGGGGTGCCCTTATTCTGTGTACTACAGTCACTAAAGTCACTCATACAAAAAGAGAATATTCAAATATCTTTGCAACTATTGGTGTAATATTAACCAAGAGTGCTTGCTTAAAAAAATTGATTCACAAGTAATTATTAAATGGGAACAAAAGAAAAAATAAACAAATAGGACATCAAACTAAAAAATTTTTGCACAGCAAAGGAATCCACCAACAAAATGAAAAGACATCCTATTGAACGGGAGAAGATATTTGCCAATGATACACCTGATAAGAAGTTACTATCCAAAATTTATTTAAAAAAACTCATACAACTCAACACCAAAAACCACAATTAAAAGATGGGCAGAGAACTGAATAGACTTTTCTCCAAAGAGGACAAACAGATGGCTGGCGGACATATGAAAACATCTCAACATGACTAATCATCAGGGAGATGCAAATAAAAACCACAATGAGATATCATTTCACACCTGTCAGAATGGCTATTATCAATAAATCAACAAAAAACAAGTTGGTGAGGATGTGGAGAAAAGGGAACCCTCATGCACTGTTGGTGGGATTGTAAATTGGTGCAGCCACTATGGAAAAGAGTATGGAGGTTCCTCAAAAAATAAAAATAGGAATAGAATTGCTGTATCGTATGGTAGTTCTGAGTAATTTATCTGAAGCAATCCAAAACATGAATTTGCAAAGATACATGCACCTCTATGTTCACTGCAGCATTATTTCCAATTGCCAAGATATGGAAGCAACCTAAATGTCCACTGACAGACAAATGGAAAAAGAAGTGGTACACACATACAATGGATTACCCAGACATAAAAAGGAATGAATCTTGCCATATGTGACAACATGGATGGACCTAGGGGGTATTACACTAACTGAAATAAGTCAGACAGAGAAAGACAAATACTGTATGATTTCACTCATATGTGGAATCTAAAAAACAAAATAAATGAACAAACAAAGCAGAAACAAACTCATAGATGCAGAGAACAAACTGATGCTTACCAGATAGGAGGGTGGTTGGGGAGCTGGGTGAAAAAGGTGAAGGGGGTAAGAAGCACAAATCGGTAGTTATAAAATAGTCATGGGGATGTAAAGTACAGCACAGGGAATCTAGTCAATGATATGGTAATAACTATGTATGGTGTCAGACGGGTACTAGACTTGTCAGGGGGATCACTTCACAAGTTATATAAATGTCTAACCACTGTGTTGTATACCTGAAACTAATAATAATATTGCACGTCAACTGTAATTGAAAAATACATTTAAAATTATTAAAATAAAAATGATGAAAGATTTGTTTTCTTCCATAGAACCAAGTATATAATTTCTACAGGACAGAATGGTTGACTACAAAGAAACATCAGGAGAGTCTTCTCTCAGATGCATTTCTTGCCACAGTAAAAAATCTAGCACATTCTCCCTCTTCCCTTTCTCCCCCTCCCTCACAGAGCAGGTGACGGGCACATCCTGGTTGTTAGGGACAGCATGTTCTCATTCAGAGATATAGTTAAGTGATGTTGACGTGGGAACAGCCAGGTTGGTAATTTGATCGCGCTAAGTATTACCTGTTTGAATAAAGCGTAGTCCTGTCCTGTGAATAATGTTCACTGACAAACAAGGAAGAAGATGAAATTGTGGTCGCCAAGGAAGCAGCTTCAAACAGTGATGGCGTGCTAGGCACCAGGTCTGGCCTGTGTCGAGATCCCAGCGCTGCATACAAAAGCAACATGCACACTGATGAATCTCAGTAATCAATGCTGCTTTAGTATCTATAACAATGTAAATGAGTCAAAAGCATTAATTTTACATATCAGACTGCAAATTAAATTAATTAACTGCGCTCTTCTGAACTGCAGCACACATGTCAAGTAGCTTCTTGCAAACAGGTTAAACAGAAAGGAAATTGCATTAATGTACAAAATGGCTTATGGAAATGACATTATGAACGTTCTTTTCAAAGCCTAATAAAATGATTTACTATTTCAAAAGATGACATAAAAAGCTCCTAGGAGCTTAAAGAGATAATTTGACAGAGATTAAAAGGATGGTTGGCAAATGTATAAACAGAGAGTGAACCTGCTTTCCCCTTCCCAGGATATACACTTATCTGTGATTCTCAATTTAGATCTAAGAACTGAGGAAACGGGCTTCACAGAAAAATGTTGGTGCCTATGAAAATATGTATGTAAGCCTCCCTCCCCCCCAGGAAGTTGGAATATTCGAGGCGGAGCAGTGACCCATGCCCACTTTATCTGAGTCTATGTGGTTTCTTTCTTTCTTTCTTTCTTTCTTTCTTTCTTTCTTTCTTTCTTTCTTTCTTTCTTTCTTTCTTTCTTTCTT